AATATGTCTAGGGCAGAACTGGCCCATGGGGTTTCCAAAGCCGCGACCTTCACGAGAGCAGACTGCCACACCTTTCTCTCAGGAGCACCTGCTGACCTTCGGGCCGGTGGCTGAACAGTGATTCACTGGGTCACCAAGGCTCTTTGGATGCCTGCTACACAGGGTAAAATCCAAAGGTCAACCAAAGCATGAATTCTATTTTACTAATTTTAGCAGCAGGAGCGCTGGTGGCATAGTGGGCTATGAGTTGGGTTGCTATCCACAGGGTCGGTGGTTCGAAACCTACCATGCTGTTTTCTGCCCTCATCAAGATTTACAGCCTCCGAAACCCCCATGTAACAGGGTTGCTACGAGTCAGTCAGCTCAATGGCAGTGGGTGAAAGTTTGCAAAAAAAAATTAAAGCAATGTCCTCAAACTTCATTTCTTTTCTTTTTTTAATTGTTCTATTGGGGGCTCATACAACTCTTATCACAAGCCATCCATCCATCGTGTCAAGCACATTTGTACATTTGTTGCCATCATCATTCTCAAACTTCATTTCTTAATGCTAAAGGAGGATTTTAAAAATGTAACTTGGATTCTCTAACAGCTCAACGGAAGGAAGTGAGATAGCAATTAGGGCTGTCCTATAATCTTATAGCAGCAATATCTTTCTTTACATAAAACAGACATGATATCAGTTACAAAAAAAGAAAACAAATGTGTGTAGTGTTTCTTCAGTTCATGGATAAAGTTAAGATACCTTTCATTAAAATGCTCACTTTTTCCTAATATATTTTTGAGTTATATAAAAGTATCTTACAAACTTTAGGTATGCAACACATGAAAAATAGTATCTATAAGCCAATACCTCATTTCTTTAAAAAGTTCAACATTCTGGTGAGTCATCAAGTTGTTTAGAAGCCATTCAAGGCATCTGAAATTAAAACTTGTAATTATTACATTATATATCAGACACTTACAATGTCAAATAGAAATTTCAGTTAAAATAAAAACAGAATTATTAATCTTGCTAGGACATGCTTAACATTTTTAGTTTAACATTTGGAAATTTAGTACTGTTTTGTCAGCAGTTATTCAGGGACTATTCCCTTCAAATTAATAAGAGCACATCTAATTACAAAATCCCATTTCACATGTGTTAAAATGATCCATGAAGGGGCCTGCATACATCTACTCCTTGTCTTTAGTGTCTGGAACTAGGAACTTTAATCTTCAAGACTGATAAAATGGGTATTACACCTACACTTTAAAAAAACTTAACAGAAAATGAACTGTCCAGGGTGGTCAGTTTTCATAAGCATGTAGAACCCACACATGGCCATTACATCAAAGACAACACTTTAAAGGACGTTATTCATTAGTTCAAAGTAAACGTAGGTTTTCATATGCTCCTGTCTTTTTTTTTTTTTTTCCCCCTTCTCTTCTTTTGTAGCTTCACATTCTCTTAAGAAACCAAAGAGCCCAAGCCCCAACCGAGGGCTGGGAGGAAAACAAGGAAGGTAACTCACTTTTTCTTTACCGAATCTAATCCATAGGTCCCTGCTGATGTGTAATAGCCACATACAGTTTTCACATTAATTGCTTCCTTCATTGTCTCACCACACTGCTGTATTAAACCATCCTGTAAATATAAATAAGCACTGGAAAGGCCCATTTCACATGGGGAAAATTAGCTCTGAGTATGTGCTTGTACATATTTTAAAAATGGGGGGAAAAAGGAAAGACAGAAGAGAGAGCTCATTAAGTGACAGCCAGCCTACATGTTTTAAAATAAGCAAAAATACTGAAAAAAATCCAGCAAGTATTCAATTAGATACTTGGAATTAGAAAACGAGGGTTGGTAGGGAAGGGAGTGTCGGCACAATAGCGTTAACATTGCTACTGGCATTCTTTCCTAGTGTTCCCCTCAGTGGGACCTTTGCAAATGACCGTAGCAGCACTGTCTGGCCTCTGTTCTTCTTTAAATGAACAAGTCTTTATCACAGTCTGATGACCATGTGAAGGGCTAAGCAAGTCAACTTTATGAATCATCAGGTAATGTTTACCAAAGTTTAAGACATCTATCAATATCAAAGAAATGTACCTAAAACAAAATATTGTTTGAGACATTAAAAGCTTTCTTCAAGTTTTTTTTAGACATTAAAATTTTAATCTGAAATGTTTACATAAAAAGTCTCAAATTAAGCACCTAGAAAGATGGCCGTGTTTCACTCAGATTTCTGAAATATTTTCAGCATGCAAGCATATTATTCAGTTAAATAGTTAGTAAGCCATATGAACAATGCAGAAAGTGGATTTAAATCAAAACGGAAAGAACCAAGGTTAGAAAATAAGTCATATGTATTGAAAATTATATTTATTTGAATTTAGTATTGAAGAGATCAAAACATCTTTTTCAATCAAGTGATCTTAGTCAAATATATTTAGCAAGCTATTATTAACCGTTCAAATACATGAATACATAAATACCACGTAAAAGGAAACCATATTTAAAAACGAGTGAAATACACACTGACGTGTATCTGGCAGTCACTCCAGACTCTGCTCCTCTTAGCATCTGTTGTCACCAAGTGACGGACTATCTCTGCTTAGTATCTTCAGCTTCCATTTGTCCTTCTGCACCCTTAATGCTACTCCCTAATTTAGATGCTCACTCGGCTACTTGTTTGTTGTCACTAGTGTGATAATTATCTTTCCTTCTCACTGTTTTTGTAGTATTCTTTCTGGATCCTCTCTCCGGCATAAAGATTCCCCAAAGAGACTTACTTGTGCGTTAAGTGTAACGTTCTCAGCAAGATGCTGAGGGGGTTTTATGATCAGACCTCTGCTCCTTCTCTGCAGACCCTCCCATCGTCTGTGTTAGAGCCATGCTCTGCTAAGATCCTCGAATCACCCGCTGTTTCACATCTCTAGATCTATGTTTACTGTTCCTTCCATCAGAAATGTTCCTTCTTCACCCTCTCTGTTTTTTGCAGGATAAATACATTTTCATGTTTTAAGACTCAATCTGAAACATCACCCTATGACATCATAGGTTGAAGTAGTGACTCCCTTCTTTTTATATCCTCTACGCCTCAGAGGATATGTTTATGACGGCATCTATAATACTGGGCAGATTATACTTTAATTTTGGAACACCATATTATGCTCACACATATTATACTGTAGGGTCCTTTCAAGGTGAGAACTTCCAAACTCCAAACCTGCTGCCATGGAGTTAATGCTGACTTACAGCCACCTCCTGAGACTGTAACTATTTACCAGAGTAGAAAGCCCAGTCTTTCTCCCAAGGAAGCTGCTGGTGGTTTTGTATTACTGATCATGTGGATCGCAGGCCAATGTACGACCACTATACCACCGTGGCTCCATTGCTTACTTGGACAAGTACAATTTTTCTGCAGTGTGACAATATAGGAATACGAAGACATCTGTACAGAGACAGCTTGTATTCTGCTAAACAGACATCCTCACCCCCTCACAGTTATAATACATCGCTTTGGGTTAAGTGATTCCTGGCAAAGGGAGTATTTACAGATGTCATTTTTATTTTAAAAAATTATAAAAAGCTAAGTGTATTTTTGCATCTAGAATAGATCCTTTGCCACAAGGTAAAGCCACTCTGCATAATGCATCTACTTACCAACTGCAGCATGGAGGCTGCTGCCAAAATCGCAATGACCCGACTGGGCTTTATTAAGACGTCATCTCTGTACAGCGAGCCGAATGCAACCTGCAATGCTGCGGCAAAGCAGTTAAGGAGAACGGAATGAGGGATGAATCAAGTAAACGGTGCAACCAAAATCACTCTCTGCACATAGTGCCAACTAACTCACTCCATCGAGTACGTCCATAAAGGAATATGAGGAGCACTGCTAATGAAATGCTAGTGATGGTTGCAGTTTGGGGTGCGAACTTAACAATGCTATGCATCCCTGTTGATTACCAAGTCTAGCTAGATTCTGCTAGCATCTAATCTTAACGTTGTTGTTGTTGAATAAGTGGTCAGAATTGGTAGATCACTCAATAAGTACGAAAAAACAATGATCATCCTAACTTTGCTGCTTCACCAACGGGGAGTGTGGTATCAATCTCGGTCCATGCCACATGCCCCCGGCTGGTGACCCCCTGAATACACCATCTCCTACATGGTGTGCCCGAGTCTATTCAGATTCCTAACCCCAACCAAACTCACTGCCATCACGACAGTTTTGACTCAGAGCGACCCTGTAGGACAGAGTCACACTGCCCCGGTGCGGTTTCTGGGGCTGTGAATCTTTACGGGAGTAGAAAGCCTCATCTTTCTCCCTTCCGACTTCTAGCCACTCCTTATGACAAAGTAACACTGGCCTATCGGGTTTCCTTGTCTGTCATCTTGATAGGAGTGGGTCACCAGGTCCTTTCGTCCAAGAAACGGCCGTGGGTTCAAATGGTTGACTCAATCCTTCTGAGTTCGTTAACACAGCAGTTCAGGCCACCGCGACCAATGATCACAGCAAGCAAATGGTAAGGAGTATTCACCGTTCCAAATGCTGCGCACCCAATCCAGACTGTTGGTGGCTCTCTATCACTTTCCTCCGAGCCTGGCGCTCGGCACGCACCGCCGTGATTCTTCAGTGCTCAGCTCCACGTCAAAAAGGAGTCAAAAAGGACGTAAGAAAGTTACTGTCCATTCTAGTCGCACTAAATGCTCTAAGATCCTAAATAAGTCTCCCAAATCATCGAAGGCCATCTTCTGACCTATGCACCCTAACAGCTAAAAAATGATGTTTATGTTTTCATATATTTATTGTTCCCAGAAAAGATATTCATATTCCCCAGTGGCTGATGAATATCATTTATCAGCTTTTCTAGGTACCTTTTAAAGGGTCCACTCTGATTCTCTTGGTCTATGTCGTTCATCTATATCCCGGAGCGAAATATGAGGTAGGGTTTAAAAAGTGCATGGAAAATCGAATTAAAAGATAATGGAATTTCTACACAAACTTGTTGACGCCCCTTTGTACTTACAGAGATAAGTAAACAGATTGATGGAGGGCACCACGTGACTCGATACGCGATAGGTGGGAAAGAACTATGAGGTACATCAGTATAAAGTTATTTCCTTGAGATGTTGAAATGGAGCATTTTTTAGCTTACAAAGTTAAAAGAAACCCTTTTTTAAATTTTTCACCAAAAGAAGGAAAGGTTAACATTTTTGCTAAAGTTTAAATGATGGTGGTAGTTACCTTCTATATCGATATTCTGGTCAGGAATCTCCAATTCAATAATACTCATGCTGGATTCTTTCCAAGAACCACTGAACATACTAGAAAAGTAGCCAGACTTTAAAAAGAAAAAAAAAAGTCAATGATTACCCAGTACCTTCATTAAACAGTTTTACCAAAACTAATCCATTCTATTATTACAAGAGAAAAAGAATTGCCAAATATATCCATAGAAGAAAATAAAATAAAGACACTATGGATTCTATCAAGATATGCTTAATGCTTTAAGTTTAGCACTGATTTAGCAAAGCAAACCAAATTGATTTTGACTCATAGTGACCCAACAGGTCCAGCACAGAACTTCCCCAGTTTCTAAGGCTGAGATCTTTTGGGAAGCAGACTGCCACAGCGTTCTCTTGTGGAGAGGCTGGTGGGTTTGAACCACTGACCTTGTGGTCAGTAGTCAATCACTTAACCACAATCAGGGTTCCTTCACTGAACAAAAATTAAACCAAACTTTTATATTACGAACTATTTAGACCTGCTAGTTTTTCACTCAACCAGATGGCAATGAAGTAATTACACTTACTTATCCCTACCTTTACCAAGGCAATTTTTGACTATCTTACTTTATGTTTTCCTTCTCCATGAGATTATAAATGCAACCTTAGCATTTACGTCACACAAAGTAGATGTAAAAGAATGTGCACGGGAGGAGAAGAAAAGGACGGCAAAGGTCCCACATTGGATAAAGTCCTTTACCTTCCCGAAAGTATTCTTCACAATGATCTTCGAACGCATCAAGTGTTAACTGATTTTAAATTTTATTTTACGAAGTGCTTGATACACGTCAGGCACTGTGAGCACAAAAGTGGACAGCACAGACGTTGCCTCTACCCTCGAGGGCTTAGCACTGAGCCTGCGGGCTTACACTTTCATGGGTCAGGGTCTGTGGTGGGGAAGGCAGAGGCATCCTCCCGCCTCCTCCTCCACAAGACTGCTGCTAGCCAATGACTCAGACCTGGAGCACTCAGCCTCAGGATGCGATCAACACTCTGACGGCTTCTCTAGGCTGGCTACTTCAAGCCACAGGACACTTGTTCCCAAAACATTTTATATAAAAATACTGTGCTTCTAATGTTACGGAAAAAAAACCTTTTAAAAATGTTTCAAATGAAAGATCTTAGACTGCACTTCTTACCAGTAGTCATTCTCAAATGGTGAAGAAAACCAGTAAAATAAATGGTCCAAAGAATAAGCACTGTTCTGTGCACGGCTCTATCTGCAGTGCTTTAGCGCAGTGTCTGCCACACCACACAAGAAGTCTGATCGAAGAATTAATGAGGGACTTCTTTGGGCCATTAGAGGTAACGTTTTCTTTTGTTTAGAAAATTTCAAATCTTTAAGATGGATTGGCAGATAGTGATATTTTCCGTACAGAAATCAATAGGTGTACCAGCTAAATAACTTAGTCTGTACACTTTGTTAATCTTGTCTTTGAGTAGATTTTTGGAGACAAAGGAAAGAGTTAAGTGTCAAGAGCTGTCCGTTCACATTTATCCTTAACTACAAAGCCAAGTTTCAAAATGAGTTTATCCAACTGACAGTGAGATACTAAATACACAAATGTCAGCATTCCCTCCCTCACGTTCCCCCACTTTTGTCTACAGAGGGTACCAACCAAACTACTTCCGGAGGGAATGGCAAAGGGGTAGGTACCTGGGCTGAGATAACAATGAAAATTCAAAGTCTGTTTTCTAGGCCTAACTAAAACTTTTCTCTACCAGTGTGCAGCATTTTCTAATACAACACTTTTTAATTAGATTAGAGGCCATACTGCCTATGTAAAGGGTTATTGTGAAATG